AGAACTCAGCTTTTGGAGAAATATTACCAGTTAAGGTGCTGACCTTGACAGGTCTCTCAGCAGCTGCGTTTTCCTTAGTTGCTGTGGGGACAGGAAAGCCATCTGTGTCTCATGCACAGGGTGCTGGCCACTGAGAATTCTTATCATTTCATTCCTGTTCATTTGCAACCCTGTCCAGCTCACAGTCTGGCACAGCACCCAGCTTGGAGCAGGTGCTCAGTGAGCGCTTCCTGAGTACCACTGCATCCATTGTCACACCAATATGAAAGCATCAAGGCAAAGGGTCCTGCTCTTGTGGCATTAGAAAGAAAGTTGGTCTCATGCTCCATTTCCTTTGTTAAGGTGCTTGTGATGCAGTTTCCTAACCTTGAGCGCGATGAGGTGCAACTTGACAGGCTAGGGCACTGAATCCTTCCTCGTGAGTGTTTGTGAGTCAATGTTAATAATATATTTATGGTTTATAGGGTTTGGATTACTCACTGGAAGCACAAAGGAGGAAAGAAAATGAGGTTGCAAAATAAAATCAATAATATAAAAATAGCTTCATGTGGAAATCTTTCTCGGGATGTCACTAGATTTGTGTCTTACGAAGGTCTTTGGTTGAAAGGATAGAAAAAGAATGTCTACATGTGCCAGAGGACAGCTGTGGAAACAGGATTAGACAGGAGGATTAGGTAAAACAAAAGCAAAGCCAGAGAGAAGGCCCCAAGCACGTACACTCTACAGAACAGAGGGTAGAACTGTATTCCTTGTCCAGTTACAGATCAGAGTACTGGTCAGTGCGTGGAGGGAAATGAAGAAAGCAGAGGGTAGGAGTTTCTGTCTTCATTCGGATTGCAGTACTCTGGGATGGATAGGCAGCTTTGGAGTCATGTTATGGGGAACAGGACTTCAGTGGTTTGTAGCTTCTATACCTTTTTGGTTTGCAGAATTCCTTTTGTCTTGTAAGATACAATGTAAACATCTCCTCTCAGGAACTTCCCTTTCTCCCTGCCTTGTGGTAGTTTTTTGTATTATTACAAGACCTTCTGTATTGTTTATCATGTAAACAGTGCAAGTGATTACTTTTTAAATATTTAATGCTTTGTCCTCTCCTTGAAGGGATGAATGGGACTTTATCTCCAATATATCGGCTCTGCCAAAGTGCCTGGCTCTCAGTGGACCCTACTGAGTGAATGGAAGATGTAGTGAACCTAACTTCTTTGTCTTCTGCACATTGTTTGGTTCCTGCTGCACAAGAAGTCCCAGAAGCCTTGAAAGTCAGGCTTAGGAAAGGGACTTCCCAGCAGCAGTGCTGAGAGAGCAGTCAGTCATTTCTGCCGGTTCCTGGCAATGACCCGGGGGCAGGTCACAACAAGCCTCCAGTCCTTGGGGTAAAGAAGAAAGGGGACATGACAACAGAAGGTACTTTACAGAGGAGCTGGGAGAATTAGAGAGCTCATCCTATGGCCACACAGCACAGTGCTCAGTGAATGTGCAGGATTGTCATTAGCTTCTCTAGAGGTAACCTCTGAAAAAGTCAGTGGTACTTTTCTTAAACTATCCATTTTATTTTCTTTTTTTGTCCCTCTCCTCACTTCCTTTCTTATTGATACTGGAAATTAAACCAGAGCCTCACACGTACTAGACAAGCACTACACCACTGAGCCACAGCTCTATACCTTTTATTGTGTCTGTCACTTTTTTCATCCTTTTAGCTCTATGAAAGCAAACATGGAAAGTATAAAAGTGAATCAAGGTCAAGTTTAAATGCCTGCTGGTTTGCAGCCTTCTCTCTGTGCACTGTCCACCCACAGGAGCGCCTTCCTCTTTGGCCCCTGCAGTTTGCACCACAACACAGTACTCATCGGTACTTGTTGGTTGTGTCCGCTGTGACGTTTCCCACCCCAAACTCAGTCCAGGTGGACAGATGTGGCTCTGAGCACCTTCTCTGTATTCATGTGGTGTGGGAAGCTCACTTTCTCCTACTTTGGCTGCTCCTAGGATTTAGATGCAGACCTTCGGGTTAGCAGGGAGGCTGGTGTGGCAGAAAGGGCCTTTGCCAGAGGATAGGAAACCCAGGTGCCAGCCAGGAAGCCCTGGCTCTTCCTGGTGAAATGAGGGCAGTGTCCATTCAGGTGGTTGGCAGCTTTAACCAGGGGACAGAACAGCCTTTACAAATTAAATACAGCGAAAGCCCATTCATCTCATAGCTTATGTGAGCCTAACTCAGCCGCCTGTCAACTTGTTCCTTGGTGGTGGCTCCTCCCGCTTTCTTTGGGGTGAGGGGGTCAGGATTTTAGTCCTGATGTGACAGAGCTTTCCAGACCACTGTGGTTTGGGGGAGTGACTTGGGTGGAAGTCATTCTGAGAGCTGTAGCTAAAGCCCAGAGAGCTGTGGCTTCCACCCCTTTCTGTCCAAGCCTATTCTCTTCAGCTAAAATGATTGGCTTTCAAAACTGCAAGAAAAATGATAAACACCCACTATCTCAAAATTAAAGTTCCTACAGAAAGAAATTAAGAGTTTAGCTTCATCAAGCAGTTGAAAAGAAGGTCTGTGAGAAGAAGGAAGGTTTTCTTTGCTTTTATTAGTAAGGCACTACCTCTCCATGTCTTTTTATATTTGATTTTGAGACTGGATCTCGCTAAGTTATCCAGGTTGGGCTGAAATTGAGATCCTCCTGCCTCAGTCTTCAGAGTGCTGGGATTGCAGGTGAGTGCCGCCATATCTGGTTTTATTGTTTACTTGTTTGTTCTTTTTTTAACTTCCTAAACATATTTATACTTTAAGATAAAATCCTAGCTTCTATTCTCTTGTGTTAGCACAAATGTTGAGCTTCTTATTGGTCTTTATGAACTCAAAGAACTCTAACTTCCACAGCCTCTAAATTGCAAAAGTCTAATATTCTATCTCTGAAGAATGAGATGGGTATACTGTGAGATATGTTTATTTAAATTGCACTTTCAGGGCCAGCCAAACAGCTCAGCAGATTAAAGCACCTACAAGCAGGTGCAGGGGCCAGGGGTTCAGTCCCCGAGCCTGCTGTGCCGGTCCCGCCCCCAGGGTGTGCTGAGATAGCAATTGAGACTGGGAATGGTGATGCACACCTGTAATACCAGCTCTTAGGAGGTTGTAAACAGGAAGATCACTATAAGTCCGATCTAGTAGTGAGACACTGAACACCCTCTATACCCTTCCCTAAAATACCAAAATTTAAAAAAAATAAATTGCACTTTCATATGTAAATTTCCACCTCAGTGTTTTTTCCTGGATATTTTTATTTGTAAGTAAAACAGTACACAGATTCATTTTACCACTTGCTATCGTGCCTACTAATGGGAAAAGAAAGTAGTAAAATGTATAATAATTTTTTAATTCAGGGGCTGGGGAGATGGCTCCGTGGAGTAAGCGCTTCCCTGGCAAGTGCAAGGGCCTGAGTTCAATCCCTGGTTAAAAAAAAAAAAAAAAAAAAAAATTCTAATTCTGATTCATGTTTTGGGTGGGAAAAATTTAATGACATCGAAGGACACTTAGGAACCTGCTCTGTTTCTTTTATCCATAGATCCTTACAAACCATTGTCAGAAACAACTGAACATTGTTTCCAGAGTCTCAATAGATAATTAATGTATTCCAGTATAAGCAAATGAGAAGTATTATATCTGTATAACCTAGATATAATATATGATCAGGAATATTGGAAATCTACAGATAGATCATGCAACATCTGACTGTTCCTTTAAAAAAGAATAGCTAACAAAACTGAAATAGACAGTAAGCAAGGAAGCCAAAGCTCTATACACTCAGTCACTTGTGCTTTCTCTTTTCTCAAAACACTGTAAAGTTGGCTTTTGAAAGGCAACTATTTACTGATAACTTCAGAGCAAGCTCCTCCCCACAGAAATGTCTGGCCTCAAGAGACAGGGGATAGGTGACACTCATCTGAGGAACACCCAGAACACCTCTGTCGGGAAGACAGGCACTCACTATGGGCCTGGGCTTCTGTGGACTTGGAAGCTGAAGGGAAGCCTCTGTTATTCCCTCCTGTGGAGGTCAGGGAGTGACAAGAGGCATTGGAAACACTCTTCCTGTGGAGGATCAGAGGAGAGAATGAACTTAGGCCCCACTTGGAATCTCGTCTCTTTCTCTAAGCCCCCCGGGGCCCCTGGGTTAGGCTACTCTGTACAAGGTTCTTCTCCACCCCACCCCCACCCCCACCCTGAGCAGCAGCTCTGCACAAGGAGCAGCCCTGGGAAGTCCTAGACATCAGGGCTGCTCTGTTGAGGATCTGCCTGAGGTGGTATGAAGCAGACAGTGATAGCTGGCACAAAGTAAGTTGAGAGTCTGTCACAGGCCTAAGTGACTCATGGCAAGGATGGGCAGACTTGGGGACATTAATTCCCAGGCCAAAGGCCAGGACCAAAACCAGCAAGTGGCATGTAGAGTCCTGGTGCCTCAAAGCAAGATAAGTACCACAGCTGAAGACTCTGTGACTCGCACCCAAATTCCTCCCAGATCAATGGTTGCAGTTAGCAGACAAACACATTACCATGGCCTGTTCCTGTGTGCTTTTCCAAAAAGGCTTTGTCCTTCAGTCCTTGAGCCTTGCCTGTGTCAACAGTTCACCCCATCACTTCCTGCAGCCCACCAATGTACACACACACACACACAAGCTGTGTACCTAACAAAGGCCAGGACATCATGCTTTGGAGCCTTAGTCCTTCCTTGGAGTCTTAGTCCTTTCTTGCCTTTAACCATCATGGTTGTAACTAAAATATGTATCTTCTCTATGTTCTACCCCCTCATTGTCTCCCCAAGGAGATCTGTGGCCCTAAGCCAGGGTACAGGTACCGCTCTCCAGTGCTTTTCACAAAAGAGAAAACAGCAGATGCTTCTCTACCATCCCCTAATGGCTCCTTGAGGACCCTAGTGTGGTTTCTAAAATCCATACTTTTCATGTTGAAGTCAGTCTAAATAGAGAACATCAGTGAGTTGCAGATACAATTCTGGGGCTGAATTTACCTGTTTAAGCCACACATTTGTTGTCATCAATTGATTCTTTTCATCCTATGAAAAATAACAAAGAAAGAGAATTAAAATGAAAGGAAGTTACACTTTTCTTTTTCACTTTGTGTTAGAAAAAGCTCTTTGAGTCTTATCCTAGTTTCAAAAGTGCAAAAGATTTTAAGAATATTTAAATGGCACATAATCCTAATATTATGGATTGTATCTAGTTGTCCTCCCAAAGCCTCATGCAGTCATTGAGGCAGGCTTCTAGAGTTTGTGACTAATTCATGATCCAATAATGGGATTAGGGGTGTGGGTGCTACACCTACCCTGGGGTGGACAGCCTGCATATAGTATAGGAAGGGAGAGAGGCTGGCTAGCTGCCACCCTGCTCCTCCCTCTGTTCTTTGCTGTTTTCTGCCACCGTGAATGGCTGCCCTCTGCCGTGTGCCATTCTTCCTTGGAGCCAGCTGAGTATGAACTGAAACCTCCACTAACTGTGAGCTAAATAAACCTTTCCTTTCTTAATTTTAGGCATTGGGTATTTTGTCCCAATAATGAGGAAATGGTAACCAAGACACCCAATATATTGTGCACAGTTTGCTTAAAAGGAGAAATGTTTATTACAACATGTAGCAATTCATTGTGGCAATATTTGTATAAGATTTTATAACCCAGAAGATATTTTAAAAATATGACATAGAAGAAAATAATACTTTGGGTTGAACCAATGGCCTACCTATGTTCCCATTTTTTTTTCATTTTTCATTTTGATACAGAATCTTGCTAAATTATTAAATTGCCCAGCTGAGCTTGAACGTTTAATCCTCTTGCTTCAGCTTCCTGCAATGCTTAGATTACAGGTAGGTGCCACTGTGCCCTGCAATATTAGCTATAGTGAAGACAAACTTTGGGTGCTTTCTTAAAAGAAATTCTGGGCTACTGAACCAACCAGAATGGATGAGTGTGTGGCACAGCAGGGAACTCGGGCCACATGGGAAGATTCTTTTGGGACTTTTGGGACCACACATCTGGACAACTCTGTTATATTCAGGGAATTTAAGTTCACTGACTTTTCCAAGAACATAACAACGGCAAAGGTTGGAGTCCAGTGTAAAAGCAGGCATTATGATGCTGAGTTCAGGAAAGAGGGAGTTGCAGGGGCAGTGGGACACTTTGCCCTTGCTCATCAGGCTCCCTGCAGGTGCTGGCATCATAGCTGCTGGGGGTGCCACAGGGAGGCCAAGAGCAGCTGAGCAGCTCTGGCTCTGCTCTCCTTCCTCACCCACTTCCCACCTATCCTGGCGCAACATCCCGTCCTTGCACCAGAGCCCACAAGAGTAGTGTTACAATGAACATTTACTCCATGACAGCTTCCCATTCTGTCTTCCCATCATTCTACCAGCTTCTTGGGGTGGATTTACTCTCATCATAAACTACCAAAAGGCCAGACATGGAGAACAGTGTCAGGCTCACACGTAAGTTATAAGAAATGTATATTATTTTAGCTCAGTGCCAAGGATTACTCACCACATCCACTAGCTGAGATATTTTCAATCCAAAATACACTTTTATGGTGTCATTAGAATTTAATACAGGGCGAACCCATTTCTGATACCCACGGAACAAGTGTCTGAGGAGGGCATCTTCATGTTCGGCAACTGAACTGAATTGTACAGCAGCTGTAAGAGTCGAGAAGGAGCCTGAGTCAGTGGGAGGACAGGGTTGCTGCTCAGCACCCACCCCCTGGGTGCACCATCTGACACCCAGCCCACTTCCAGCAGTGATCTGTCGTGTAGTCCCAGGGAGAGGGTGACCCACATACACACACACTGCACAGCCCCCTGAGGCTTCCACACAGTGCACACCAACTCTGCTTCACCAAGCTCACTCCCTATAGTGCCCACTGAGTAACACCCGAGGGCCATCTGCAGCCACCTACCTGGCCTTGACCTTGATGTCAGGCTTTATTGAAATGTCCCCTCTTTACAAAGACAGGCTCTTCAACATGCTTTTATCCTGGGTGTCCTGTATAGAGTTAGTGGGTTTGGCGTGTGTGTGTGTGTGTGTGTGTTGTCACTGTATGGATGCCATACACAGTGTATGACTTGCATGTTATCATTGATATATGTTGTCATTCTATGTATGTTAGGTGTTTGTACATTATGATCTATATTTGCATATATATGTTATTATCTGTCCTCCCCTCAAGTTTCATGACAACATGAACAAGGTCCATTATGTCTGACAACATTTACCCAGCCCCTAGGTTTGTGCCTGACCCTGGGCTGGCATGCACACTATGAACATGGAGTGGATTACAGGAGTATGCTGGGGCAACTTCTGTGCATTTGTACATTTTCATCAAACCCCTGCCTGTGCTTCTCCCTGCTCCTTTGCCTCTGTCCTTGGGACACTTTCCATGATGAAGGTCTTTCTAGCTAGTAACTAGGTGCTAATCTCAGCTCATGAACATGTGCAAGCTGAAGAAACATCCTAATACCCCATGTGTTGCCTTTGTTGTCCAGAACTGCTTTAGTTATCTAGCTTTCTTTTGGTTCTAGTTTTGTGAAGTATGCTAATGGTATTTTTTGGGGATTGCATTAATTATACAGAGCTACTGTGATAAAATCATCAGGGTACTGGCAAAACAGATGTGGGGATCCATGGAATAGACTAGAAGATGCAGAAACAACTCCAAACACATTCAAACACCTTATCTTTAAGAAAAAGGCCAAACACATTCACTGGAAGAAGGATAGCCTCATTAATAAATGGTGCAGGAAAAAATGGCTTTCTACATGCTGAATATTAAAACTACAGCCATGTCTATCGCCATGCACTAACCTAAAATCAAAATGGATCAAGTATCTAAATATTAAAACAGAAACACTAAATCTTCTGGAAGACAGAATAGACATAACTCTGGAATGCATGGATGTAGGCAAAGACTTCATGAATAAAACCCTGAAGCCATGGGAAACACTACAAAGAATCAACAACTGGGATCTTATCTATTTCTTTAAAGAGAATAAAAATGATATAGAGGGACAGAGATATAGCTCAGTGGCACAAGCGTCTGGAAGGTGCAAGGTCCTGAGTTTGATTCCCTGTACCACAAAAACATAAAGAATTTCAAAACCAAATGCTAAGAAATTAGAAATGGTTGTTATAGTGTATATTGTTATCTTCAAAACAGTTGCTCAGAGTACTAGATATAGGCATGCAAAATTGATCAAACTATTAGGCATTACTGTCCCTTTCAACAAACCAATAGAAAGTAGGAGTAGAAGGGAAATACCTGGGATGAATGGGAACTCTAATCCTAGCTTTTTGAGGAATCTCTACACTGATTTTCACAGTCGTTCTGTTATGGTAAATGAAAACTAGAAAAAGCATGAGAGAGAGATCAAAGGTGTAAAGTCACCATTTTGTATCTGTATATACAAAATAGTTAGGACAGATATGCAGCTGCTTTCTCTTAATTCAATGAGAAGAAAGATTTGTACTAATAGTGTTTAGACAGGACATCCTGTCTGCATCTTGCACTATGAATAATCACTAAGAAGACAATAATATGCAATGTATTAATTATTGTAACTGTCATGCTAACCTGTTTTGAAACTGTTATTGCTATTTGTTTCTCAATAAAATTAATTCGAAAAAAGAAAGAAAGTATAAAGTCAAAGAAGCTTTATCAAAATCCAGGGACCAACATTCTGATGCTGAGTCAAGAAAACAAATTATTGCCCCCCCCACTTCGACTTTACCTCTAGGTTGTGTACCTTTTAGGTTTCCACAGTAATCAAAACACCGTATTATCTCATTCTCAGGAATTTTACAAGAATATAAATGGTTTACATTCCCCAGACACTTTTGACCATCTGCTGGTCATGGGACATTGTGGTTTACCACTTACCTTACTTTTCAATTTGTTTTAATCTTTATGGCTTTGTTATCCTCAGTGGACTTATGGTTAGCTGAATGGGGAGGGTTAAAGGAGTGAGTTTATCTACCATTTGGGTGAACATAAGTGACTTTTACAATGGAGTTACAAAAGAAGATAGCATATCTTTTGCCCCATAAGTTGTACAAAAAATGGGCATCTGAAATGAACAGATATTTCTTAGAAGAAGAAATACAAATGTCAGTATCAATAAATATATAAAAAAATGTTCAAAATCACTGGTCATTCAAGAGATGCAAATTAAAACAACACTGAGATTCCATCTCATCCCAGAAAGAATAGTGATTATCCAGAAAACAACTAATAGCAAATAACTGCAAAGCTGTAGGGATAAAGGAATCCTTCTCTACTGTTGGTGAGAGTGTAGATTGTTGCAGGCATTGTGTAAATCAGCGTGGAGGTTTCTCAAAAATCTAAGATTAGAGGTTCCATTTGACCCAGCTATTTTCCTTCTGGGTATCTTCCCAGAATTAAAAACATCATACCATAGCATTTATAATAGCTAAATGTTGGAAGCCACCCAAACATCAAACAATGAATGGGGAAAAAAAGACACTTTTTTTTTTGTACGATAGAGTATTACTCAGCCATAAGGAAAGATAGAATTGAGGCATTCATAGCTAATTGGATGGACCTTAATCATAAATAAAAATAAATCAGACATACATGTGTAAATATCACATTATCTCTCTGGTCTAAGGAACTTAAAATATAAATAAGAACAAAAATGTATAATTGATATTGTGAAATAGGAAGAAACTGTTCAAAAGGAAAACAGAAATGGGAAAGCAGAGGAGGAAAGGGAGGAAGGGAAAGAAAAAATGAGAAAAGAAGGATAAAATGAAAACTGAATATTGTGAATGGGAAGGGGAGGAGGGTATAAAAACAGGGGATGATAATGGGAAAAAAGAGGAATCAAGATATACAGATAGATAGATAGATAGATAGATAGATAGATAGATGATAGATAGATAGATAGATAGATGTATTTGTACAGATACAAATTCCCTATAATGAATGTGGCCATCATGTATACTTCAATTGTGCCAATAAATTTTTACAAAGAAAAAAAAATCCTAATAAATGTTCTCTCAAGCTGAGGAACTGGGCACCACTGACACAAATGGCCAAGGGAAGACATGGAGAGAGGCTTTGTCTCTTGCAGGATACCCCTGCAAACCTGAAACAAGGAAACCCTTTGTTGTTTTAAAAATATAGCCCCTCCCCTGTATTCAACCCCTATCAGTATCCATGGCAACCCATTCTGCACCACCTCAGGAAATTTACTCAAGAAAGTCTTCTTCTCACTGGGAGACAAACATGAGGACCAATGACTGCATGCAAGACCTCCAAAGGTTCACCCAAGCAAACCCAGAATTGTCATTTGGATGAAAGTCACATGCACATGCATGCATGCCTGAGGTTCCCACAGGCTGCACCAAGGGGGCAGGACACAGAGGTGAGGGTTCAAGCAAGTGTACTGAAATGCAAACTTGTTGGGGTTATTTTTCCATAATTTTATTGAAAAGCAAATAGCAATGAGACAGTTTCAAATCAAATTGAAATTTGATAGTTTCAATAATTAAGACATTGCATACTCTTCCTAGTGGTTATTTGCTGTATAAGATGCACACATGATATCCTATTTACAAACAGTATTAGAACAAATCCCTCTATTCATTAAGAGAATGTAACTATATATCTATCCTAACCATTTTGAATACACAGATACAAAGTGGACATTCATCTGTATCCCCTTTTTTGTTTAGTTCTGTCATTTGAATATTATAGGTGTGTCAACTCAGCAAAATATTCTAAAAGAGTTCAGTAGTCCATAAAGGTATTGGGTCTTCTGCTTCACTGGCAATGTCAGAAATTGTTGACCTGAGTCCCCTACAGCTTAAAATAACACCATGGCTTTACTTCTTATACTTCGTTTTTATACTTTTCTGCTGGATGGTTAAGATCAAGATAAAGCAAGACCTATGCAACAAGAGTTGTAGCTTTTGGATCTGATAAGGTCAGTGAAATCCCCTCAGGATTTATCCTGAGATCCTGTACCTCAAATTGTAGACCCTTTGTCAGTGTCAGCCATGTGGATGAGTCACAGCCATTGCTTGGCCAATGTGCTCTCTGTGAAAGCTTGAGAGAATGTTTTCTCTCCATGTGACTCTCCTTAGGCACACTCTATGTCATCGATCACTTTCCTCTTTGACCCCATAATCTCCTTGATAAGAAAATTTGGGACACTACTGAGTTACGTGACGTTACAGTACAAGTTCTCAGATGTCCTGAGTCTTAATTGACTTTGGAAGGCTAGGGCCAAAATGTTGGCTTTCCTTGTGGCCCTTCTTTTTCTCTAATTTTGGTTTGCAAACTTAGGTTGTTTACCATCCAGAAGACAAGCTTATTGTTATTACCATACAACTTAGGCTGTTAAGCTGAAACTCACTATCTGTCTGCATATCAAACAACTTAGGCATAATATGGAACAGGTATTTTTCATCAAGTATTGATATGTTGAAGTTTAAGTCCCTACAGAATATGACAAAAAACATTGAAAACTTAAAATATATTTTAAAAATAGGCATAAAGAATTATATAATTCTTATGTTTACACATAAGTCCAGAAATCTAACCATATACAACATTGTTGCAGGACAGTCCTGCAACATTCCTTTTCCTGTGTCCTGCCTTCATTCACCACCTCCTTCATTTTGAACAATATACTTGAGA